TGTCCCATGAGTGCAACTATGTATATGGAGGGTATACAAAAAATACCTAATGGGGTCTGAGGTGTTAAAACCGAAAGTTAAATATACCCCATCTTGCAATGGTAAAGGAATAAACGTAGATGTATCAACGTTTGGGAACATTGATATGTCAAAAGCTTTATATTTTTTTGTCAAAAATAAGTACATTTTTGTTTATACGTTTTCTTATGCGACGCCAATCGGAAGTTGTTCTTCAACATTTTTTTACGAATTTGAAGCATTTTTCATTCAAAATTGGTTTGACAGTTCATTGTCTCTGAAGCTGTGCCGATGCGACTACCTGTATTCTTCTACCATGCCATCTTGCATTGGAGATTTTCAGTTAACAGCAAATGAACGGTGTAAGACCGGTAAACGAACTGAAGGAACCATTGTGAACCATAGAAACTAGTTGAACAACGAAAGAGCTGGATATAGTTCCGATAGTTCATTACATGGACAATAGTTCATTTGAACTAGCTAGTTTTAGAACGACACTACTCTATTAGGCCTGTGGAAGATTTCAGACATAATTCCAAATAAAATATCCATTTGTTTTGCTGCTAGAATTCATTGCGACGATTCATAAAAGTGAGTATGCAGTTTGGTAGTGTGTGGGTGCAATAGAGTTGGCACAATTTTCATTTCGGAAACAATGTGTGTGTATGTTTGGAGTTTAGAAATTCTCGCCGTGTCCATGCCCAAATTTTTGACTTCCCATAAATTAAATGAATGTTGTATTTCCTTTCCTGACCAATTCAGCATCAGCAACAATACGGAGCCATACGACCTTTACAAGTTGTGCTTCGTGCCAGATTTTGAAACGTGCCTAGGCCATTTGAAAAACATGTAACATTCATGGGAGAATCAATGTATTTGTTTGTGTGAAGGATCGCAAACAGATTAAATTTCCGAACTCTGTACTAAATATTAATTTATTAATTCAGCCAGACCATAGACATGGACTCTCTTCGTGCTTACCCAGGAAATCTGTACAAAATGCGACGTTATGTGTAATATGTGTCCAGTCACAAATTCCAGTGGAATTTTTCTATTTCTCTCCCGGTGTTTTGAAGTTTTTTTTTTTCTTTATGGCTATTGGAATCGATTTAAAGTTCATCGCATACCTTATTTTGTGTAGGGTGCTGGTGAACGCATAGCTTAACAAATATTGCAAAGTTATTCGCACATATTTCTTGATTAACATTTTTAGATCCTTTCAGGGACAACATCGCTACACGTGAGCAATATCGCAGCGCTTTGAGAGTAGCAGTAAACATGATGGCAGATAAAAGTAAAACTCGTATGAATCTGGCTGCTATCAAGAAGGTCGATCCTTATGCAAAGGACATTGTAGACACGTCTTCTCACGTGGCATTTTATATATTCGACTCAGAGCAGAATGAATGGGAGAAAACAGACGTCGAAGGAGCGTTCTTCATATATAGCCGCAATGCGCAACCGTTTCACAGTATTTTCATTAATAACCGCTTAAATACAACATCGTTTGTGGAACCCATAACACCGCACCTAGAGCTGCAGGCACAGGCTCCTTTCCTGCTATATCGCAACGAAAGATCCCGTATCCGAGGCTTCTGGTTTTATAACAGCTTAGAATGCGATCGCATAAGCAAATTGGTTACTGACCTGGTACACACAGTGGCCAACACAACTGAGAACGGCGCCATTGTTAATGATTCAAAGCCAAACCATAGTAACAACAACAATGTAAACATATTTAAGATGTTGTCGAATGCAAATTCCACATTGGCTAGATTTGACAAATGAACGGATAACCATTGTAACACATGAGTTTTTGACACCAAACATTCAATGGCTGCCAGTTTTCTCCAGTGCAGCTATAGAAACATTTATACATCGTATACCAAATTTATCGAATCGATTTCTATACTTAAATGATGATATCTTCCTGGGCTCTCATCTATATCCGGAAGATCTCTACACCGATTCGGAAGGGACGCGCATATTCCAAGCATGGCTTGTCCCAGAGTGTTCTCAAAACTGTCCGTGGACGTATATTGGAGATAAGACATGTGACCAAAACTGTAACATTTCGGAATGCCAATATGATGGAGGTGATTGTACCGATGGTGATGATTATGTGCAACGCAGAGGCTTACTGCATACCATCGAACGTAGAGGAAAAAAATCTGAAGGCACAATCCTGTTCAGAAATGTCAGGACAACAACTAAAAATATTGGAATAAAACGTTTTTGGGATATCCTGCATAGCTATAATTTAACACGAAAGCTTGACATGGAAACACTTGTCGATAATTACAACAAGCGGCTCCACAACCAGCAATCAAAGAACGTACCACTTATACCGAAATTTGCTAACAATGTGAGATCCTTGCAAAAAACAAGTGAACACTTTTCCCAATCTCTAATATATACAAACATGCTTCTAAATCGCCGATATGGGTTTAAGGCCCGTCACGTAATCAGTCACGTCGGTTTCCTACTGGAGAAGACAATCATAGAAGCAATGCAAAAAAAGTTTTCCCAAGAAATATTAACAACAGCAACCCATAGATTTCGCGCTCCTAATGACCTTCAATTTGCTTTTCTGTATTACTCATTCCTAATGGAAGAAACCTACAATGAAACCATAGACAATATATTCGATGAGTTCGACACAGATCATTCGCTTACATGGTCCGATAGAGAAATAAGAACGTTTTTGTCAAAAATCTTCCCGTTGCCTTTAGATTGGTCCGCAGTTCGTTTTTTTGAAGGTGTAATTCAAAACTGTAGTCAATCTCCCGAATATAAATACGAAGACTTTGCCCACAAGCGACATACTACTGTTTTATACGAACGATACGAAGATTCTCATTTGGTAAGATGGCTAGGAATGCAAAATTAGGTTAACAACTTTTCACTCATACTAATTCCCTCTTAGCCTACCGTGTCCAAGGTCTTAGTTAAGCAATGTTTACCGTTGGTTGAAGCGTTACAACTAAATTTTGGTACGAGGCCCAAGTATAAGTATAAAGTGAACTCAAAGCGAAATACGTTTAATAATTTTATGATGCTCTCATCGAACGTAACGGAGGTTGTCGATGCTTTAGATGGAATTAGAAGGAATCCAAGGTACACGTTTGTTCGAGCTACTTATTACTGTATGATTGGAAGGGTATAGAACTCAAAGATACCATTTTTCTGTGTTGTATTTTGCAGGAAGTTTAATTGCATCAACGATAACCTAGATCCAAAGTACGAAGAAGAAAATGAATTGATTCGCCATCTGCTGGAGGATTTCTATTTATCCCTATTTCCTCATAGAAGTCAGTTCGAGTTGGACCATCAATATCGCAATAGATTTACAAATTGGAGAGATTATGTAAAATGGCGTTGGCAAAAACAAATATTCTATATAATGATATATGGGTTATGCCTTGTGGTAATCGTTTACATCGGCCAATCAATCTGGAGACAAAAAACCAAATCCTATTTATAACGTTCCTATTGGACTTTATAAAATAATATGTTTTAATTGAACTCTTATGAAATCTTCAAACTTAATAAACAAATTGATAATTTGCTATCTAACTCATTAGCCATCGTTTTCATACATAATGAGAAGCTAAATTCTTGCATATCGAACATATCGAGAGAATTTGGTTCCGGGTTATTTCAAAGCTGTTTCGATACCACAACTTTAATATGATGTGGCATATTCTTCGAAAAGAAAGTTCCTCCCAAATTGAAATAAAAGATTTCAGTATCGACTTTAAAAACAACTTCTAATATATTCGACTTTTCGAAATAGTTTTGTATTAGTGTAAATGGACCTTAACATATAACTAATTGGAGCCGAACCTTCCAGGAACTTTTTGTGAGTGTAAGATTTCAAAAAGAATCGCACCACCGGTACCGATTGTTGAGGCTTACGTCAAATCTTGAAAGAAAATGTAAGCTTTCGTAATGTCGTTCTGCCACAGGATGTAACCCCAATATAAACTCTAAATACCGAATTTTAGACTATTACATTAAAAAGTGTGGCTAAAATCAATATACCAAATATAGGTATACTATACAAACACGTTGACCGATACAGCCTATCTTAGCACTTGATCGGACTGCAGAAAAAATTCCACGCTATCTATGTGCCTATGTGTAAATTGAGTTTCTATCACATGACGTTGAACTCTAGCGTGATTACAACAGATGGAAGGACGGACATGGCAAAATCGAATCTTATGCTGATCAGTTACAGTTGGAATGACAAACATAATACACCCTCCAAAATTTTGTTGCAAATTTAAAAGCCTTTGACTCTATAAGACTCCAGTACAGAGTTGTATTTTTCTAATTTCTTTGAAATTGAGGAACCTTTCTTATTGTCCCATGAGTGCAACTATGTATATGGAGGGTATACAAAAAATACCTAATGGGGTCTGAGGTGTTAAAACCGAAAGTTAAATATACCCCATCTTGCAATGGTAAAGGAATAAACGTAGATGTATCAACGTTTGGGAACATTGATATGTCAAAAGCTTTATATTTTTTTGTCAAAAATAAGTACATTTTTGTTTATACGTTTTCTTATGCGACGCCAATCGGAAGTTGTTCTTCAACATTTTTTTACGAATTTGAAGCATTTTTCATTCAAAATTGGTTTGACAGTTCATTGTCTCTGAAGCTGTGCCGATGCGACTACCTGTATTCTTCTACCATGCCATCTTGCATTGGAGATTTTCAGTTAACAGCAAATGAACGGTGTAAGACCGGTAAACGAACTGAAGGAACCATTGTGAACCATAGAAACTAGTTGAACAACGAAAGAGCTGGATATAGTTCCGATAGTTCATTACATGGACAATAGTTCATTTGAACTAGCTAGTTTTAGAACGACACTACTCTATTAGGCCTGTGGAAGATTTCAGACATAATTCCAAATAAATATCCATTTGTTTTGCTGCTAGAATTCATTGCGACGATTCATAAAAGTGAGTATGCAGTTTGGTAGTGTGTGGGTGCAATAGAGTTGGCACAATTTTCATTTCGGAAACAATGTGTGTGTATGTTTGGAGTTTAGAAATTCTCGCCGTGTCCATGCCCAAATTTTTGACTTCCCATAAATTAAATGAATGTTGTATTTCCTTTCCTGACCAATTCAGCATCAGCAACAATACGGAGCCATACGACCTTTACAAGTTGTGCTTCGTGCCAGATTTTGAAACGTGCCTAGGCCATTTGAAAAACATGTAACATTCATGGGAGAATCAATGTATTTGTTTGTGTGAAGGATCGCAAACAGATTAAATTTCCGAACTCTGTACTAAATATTAATTTATTAATTCAGCCAGACCATAGACATGGACTCTCTTCGTGCTTACCCAGGAAATCTGTACAAAATGCGACGTTATGTGTAATATGTGTCCAGTCACAAATTCCAGTGGAATTTTTCTATTTCTCTCCCGGTGTTTTGAAGTTTTTTTTTTTCTTTATGGCTATTGGAATCGATTTAAAGTTCATCGCATACCTTATTTTGTGTAGGGTGCTGGTGAACGCATAGCTTAACAAATATTGCAAAGTTATTCGCACATATTTCTTGATTAACATTTTTAGATCCTTTCAGGGACAACATCGCTACACGTGAGCAATATCGCAGCGCTTTGAGAGTAGCAGTAAACATGATGGCAGATAAAAGTAAAACTCGTATGAATCTGGCTGCTATCAAGAAGGTCGATCCTTATGCAAAGGACATTGTAGACACGTCTTCTCACGTGGCATTTTATATATTCGACTCAGAGCAGAATGAATGGGAGAAAACAGACGTCGAAGGAGCGTTCTTCATATATAGCCGCAATGCGCAACCGTTTCACAGTATTTTCATTAATAACCGCTTAAATACAACATCGTTTGTGGAACCCATAACACCGCACCTAGAGCTGCAGGCACAGGCTCCTTTCCTGCTATATCGCAACGAAAGATCCCGTATCCGAGGCTTCTGGTTTTATAACAGCTTAGAATGCGATCGCATAAGCAAATTGGTTACTGACCTGGTACACACAGTGGCCAACACAACTGAGAACGGCGCCATTGTTAATGATTCAAAGCCAAACCATAGTAACAACAACAATGTAAACATATTTAAGATGTTGTCGAATGCAAATTCCACATTGGCTAGATTTGACAAATGAACGGATAACCATTGTAACACATGAGTTTTTGACACCAAACATTCAATGGCTGCCAGTTTTCTCCAGTGCAGCTATAGAAACATTTATACATCGTATACCAAATTTATCGAATCGATTTCTATACTTAAATGATGATATCTTCCTGGGCTCTCATCTATATCCGGAAGATCTCTACACCGATTCGGAAGGGACGCGCATATTCCAAGCATGGCTTGTCCCAGAGTGTTCTCAAAACTGTCCGTGGACGTATATTGGAGATAAGACATGTGACCAAAACTGTAACATTTCGGAATGCCAATATGATGGAGGTGATTGTACCGATGGTGATGATTATGTGCAACGCAGAGGCTTACTGCATACCATCGAACGTAGAGGAAAAAAATCTGAAGGCACAATCCTGTTCAGAAATGTCAGGACAACAACTAAAAATATTGGAATAAAACGTTTTTGGGATATCCTGCATAGCTATAATTTAACACGAAAGCTTGACATGAAAACACTTGTCGATAATTACAACAAGCGGCTCCACAACCAGCAATCAAAGAACGTACCACTTATACCGAAATTTGCTAACAATGTGAGATCCTTGCAAAAAACAAGTGAACACTTTTCCCAATCTCTAATATATACAAACATGCTTCTAAATCGCCGATATGGGTTTAAGGCCCGTCACGTAATCAGTCACGTCGGTTTCCTACTGGAGAAGACAATCATAGAAGCAATGCAAAAAAAGTTTTCCCAAGAAATATTAACAACAGCAACCCATAGATTTCGCGCTCCTAATGACCTTCAATTTGCTTTTCTGTATTACTCATTCCTAATGGAAGAAACCTACAATGAAACCATAGACAATATATTCGATGAGTTCGACACAGATCATTCGCTTACATGGTCCGATAGAGAAATAAGAACGTTTTTGTCAAAAATCTTCCCGTTGCCTTTAGATTGGTCCGCAGTTCGTTTTTTTGAAGGTGTAATTCAAAACTGTAGTCAATCTCCCGAATATAAATACGAAGACTTTGCCCACAAGCGACATACTACTGTTTTATACGAACGATACGAAGATTCTCATTTGGTAAGATGGCTAGGAATGCAAAATTAGGTTAACAACTTTTCACTCATACTAATTCCCTCTTAGCCTACCGTGTCCAAGGTCTTAGTTAAGCAATGTTTACCGTTGGTTGAAGCGTTACAACTAAATTTTGGTACGAGGCCCAAGTATAAGTATAAAGTGAACTCAAAGCGAAATACGTTTAATAATTTTATGATGCTCTCATCGAACGTAACGGAGGTTGTCGATGCTTTAGATGGAATTAGAAGGAATCCAAGGTACACGTTTGTTCGAGCTACTTATTACTGTATGATTGGAAGGGTATAGAACTCAAAGATACCATTTTTCTGTGTTGTATTTTGCAGGAAGTTTAATTGCATCAACGATAACCTAGATCCAAAGTACGAAGAAGAAAATGAATTGATTCGCCATCTGCTGGAGGATTTCTATTTATCCCTATTTCCTCATAGAAGTCAGTTCGAGTTACAAATTGGAGAGATTATGTAAAATGGCGTTGGCAAAAACAAATATTCTATATAATGATATATGGGTTATGCCTTGTGGTAATCGTTTACATCGGCCAATCAATCTGGAGACAAAAAACCAAATCCTATTTATAACGTTCCTATTGGACTTTATAAAATAATATGTTTTAATTGAACTCTTATGAAATCTTCAAACTTAATAAACAAATTGATAATTTGCTATCTAACTCATTAGCCATCGTTTTCATACATAATGAGAAGCTAAATTCTTGCATATCGAACATATCGAGAGAATTTGGTTCCGGGTTATTTCAAAGCTGTTTCGATACCACAACTTTAATATGATGTGGCATATTCTTCGAAAAGAAAGTTCCTCCCAAATTGAAATAAAAGATTTCAGTATCGACTTTAAAAACAACTTCTAATATATTCGACTTTTCGAAATAGTTTTGTATTAGTGTAAATGGACCTTAACATATAACTAATTGGAGCCGAACCTTCCAGGAACTTTTTGTGAGTGTAAGATTTCAAAAAGAATCGCACCACCGGTACCGATTGTTGAGGCTTACGTCAAATCTTGAAAGAAAATGTAAGCTTTCGTAATGTCGTTCTGCCACAGGATGTAACCCCAATATAAACTCTAAATACCGAATTTTAGACTATTACATTAAAAAGTGTGGCTAAAATCAATATACCAAATATAGGTATACTATACAAACACGTTGACCGATACAGCCTATCTTAGCACTTGATCGGACTGCAGAAAAAATTCCACGCTATCTATGTGCCTATGTGTAAATTGAGTTTCTATCACATGACGTTGAACTCTAGCGTGATTACAACAGATGGAAGGACGGACATGGCAAAATCGAATCTTATGCTGATCAGTTACAGTTGGAATGACAAACATAATACACCCTCCAAAATTTTGTTGCAAATTTAAAAGCCTTTGACTCTATAAGACTCCAGTACAGAGTTGTATTTTTCTAATTTCTTTGAAATTGAGGAACCTTTCTTATTGTCCCATGAGTGCAACTATGTATATGGAGGGTATACAAAAAATACCTAATGGGGTCTGAGGTGTTAAAACCGAAAGTTAAATATACCCCATCTTGCAATGGTAAAGGAATAAACGTAGATGTATCAACGTTTGGGAACATTGATATGTCAAAAGCTTTATATTTTTTTGTCAAAAATAAGTACATTTTTGTTTATACGTTTTCTTATGCGACGCCAATCGGAAGTTGTTCTTCAACATTTTTTTACGAATTTGAAGCATTTTTCATTCAAAATTGGTTTGACAGTTCATTGTCTCTGAAGCTGTGCCGATGCGACTACCTGTATTCTTCTACCATGCCATCTTGCATTGGAGATTTTCAGTTAACAGCAAATGAACGGTGTAAGACCGGTAAACGAACTGAAGGAACCATTGTGAACCATAGAAACTAGTTGAACAACGAAAGAGCTGGATATAGTTCCGATAGTTCATTACATGGACAATAGTTCATTTGAACTAGCTAGTTTTAGAACGACACTACTCTATTAGGCCTGTGGAAGATTTCAGACATAATTCCAAATAAATATCCATTTGTTTTGCTGCTAGAATTCATTGCGACGATTCATAAAAGTGAGTATGCAGTTTGGTAGTGTGTGGGTGCAATAGAGTTGGCACAATTTTCATTTCGGAAACAATGTGTGTGTATGTTTGGAGTTTAGAAATTCTCGCCGTGTCCATGCCCAAATTTTTGACTTCCCATAAATTAAATGAATGTTGTATTTCCTTTCCTGACCAATTCAGCATCAGCAACAATACGGAGCCATACGACCTTTACAAGTTGTGCTTCGTGCCAGATTTTGAAACGTGCCTAGGCCATTTGAAAAACATGTAACATTCATGGGAGAATCAATGTATTTGTTTGTGTGAAGGATCGCAAACAGATTAAATTTCCGAACTCTGTACTAAATATTAATTTATTAATTCAGCCAGACCATAGACATGGACTCTCTTCGTGCTTACCCAGGAAATCTGTACAAAATGCGACGTTATGTGTAATATGTGTCCAGTCACAAATTCCAGTGGAATTTTTCTATTTCTCTCCCGGTGTTTTGAAGTTTTTTTTTTTTCTTTATGGCTATTGGAATCGATTTAAAGTTCATCGCATACCTTATTTTGTGTAGGGTGCTGGTGAACGCATAGCTTAACAAATATTGCAAAGTTATTCGCACATATTTCTTGATTAACATTTTTAGATCCTTTCAGGGACAACATCGCTACACGTGAGCAATATCGCAGCGCTTTGAGAGTAGCAGTAAACATGATGGCAGATAAAAGTAAAACTCGTATGAATCTGGCTGCTATCAAGAAGGTCGATCCTTATGCAAAGGACATTGTAGACACGTCTTCTCACGTGGCATTTTATATATTCGACTCAGAGCAGAATGAATGGGAGAAAACAGACGTCGAAGGAGCGTTCTTCATATATAGCCGCAATGCGCAACCGTTTCACAGTATTTTCATTAATAACCGCTTAAATACAACATCGTTTGTGGAACCCATAACACCGCACCTAGAGCTGCAGGCACAGGCTCCTTTCCTGCTATATCGCAACGAAAGATCCCGTATCCGAGGCTTCTGGTTTTATAACAGCTTAGAATGCGATCGCATAAGCAAATTGGTTACTGACCTGGTACACACAGTGGCCAACACAACTGAGAACGGCGCCATTGTTAATGATTCAAAGCCAAACCATAGTAACAACAACAATGTAAACATATTTAAGATGTTGTCGAATGCAAATTCCACATTGGCTAGATTTGACAAATGAACGGATAACCATTGTAACACATGAGTTTTTGACACCAAACATTCAATGGCTGCCAGTTTTCTCCAGTGCAGCTATAGAAACATTTATACATCGTATACCAAATTTATCGAATCGATTTCTATACTTAAATGATGATATCTTCCTGGGCTCTCATCTATATCCGGAAGATCTCTACACCGATTCGGAAGGGACGCGCATATTCCAAGCATGGCTTGTCCCAGAGTGTTCTCAAAACTGTCCGTGGACGTATATTGGAGATAAGACATGTGACCAAAACTGTAACATTTCGGAATGCCAATATGATGGAGGTGATTGTACCGATGGTGATGATTATGTGCAACGCAGAGGCTTACTGCATACCATCGAACGTAGAGGAAAAAAATCTGAAGGCACAATCCTGTTCAGAAATGTCAGGACAACAACTAAAAATATTGGAATAAAACGTTTTTGGGATATCCTGCATAGCTATAATTTAACACGAAAGCTTGACATGAAAACACTTGTCGATAATTACAACAAGCGGCTCCACAACCAGCAATCAAAGAACGTACCACTTATACCGAAATTTGCTAACAATGTGAGATCCTTGCAAAAAACAAGTGAACACTTTTCCCAATCTCTAATATATACAAACATGCTTCTAAATCGCCGATATGGGTTTAAGGCCCGTCACGTAATCAGTCACGTCGGTTTCCTACTGGAGAAGACAATCATAGAAGCAATGCAAAAAAAGTTTTCCCAAGAAATATTAACAACAGCAACCCATAGATTTCGCGCTCCTAATGACCTTCAATTTGCTTTTCTGTATTACTCATTCCTAATGGAAGAAACCTACAATGAAACCATAGACAATATATTCGATGAGTTCGACACAGATCATTCGCTTACATGGTCCGATAGAGAAATAAGAACGTTTTTGTCAAAAATCTTCCCGTTGCCTTTAGATTGGTCCGCAGTTCGTTTTTTTGAAGGTGTAATTCAAAACTGTAGTCAATCTCCCGAATATAAATACGAAGACTTTGCCCACAAGCGACATACTACTGTTTTATACGAACGATACGAAGATTCTCATTTGGTAAGATGGCTAGGAATGCAAAATTAGGTTAACAACTTTTCACTCATACTAATTCCCTCTTAGCCTACCGTGTCCAAGGTCTTAGTTAAGCAATGTTTACCGTTGGTTGAAGCGTTACAACTAAATTTTGGTACGAGGCCCAAGTATAAGTATAAAGTGAACTCAAAGCGAAATACGTTTAATAATTTTATGATGCTCTCATCGAACGTAACGGAGGTTGTCGATGCTTTAGATGGAATTAGAAGGAATCCAAGGTACACGTTTGTTCGAGCTACTTATTACTGTATGATTGGAAGGGTATAGAACTCAAAGATACCATTTTTCTGTGTTGTATTTTGCAGGAAGTTTAATTGCATCAACGATAACCTAGATCCAAAGTACGAAGAAGAAAATGAATTGATTCGCCATCTGCTGGAGGATTTCTATTTATCCCTATTTCCTCATAGAAGTCAGTTCGAGTTGGACCATCAATATCGCAATAGATTTACAAATTGGAGAGATTATGTAAAATGGCGTTGGCAAAAACAAATATTCTATATAATGATATATGGGTTATGCCTTGTGGTAATCGTTTACATCGGCCAATCAATCTGGAGACAAAAAACCAAATCCTATTTATAACGTTCCTATTGGACTTTATAAAATAATATGTTTTAATTGAACTCTTATGAAATCTTCAAACTTAATAAACAAATTGATAATTTGCTATCTAACTCATTAGCCATCGTTTTCATACATAATGAGAAGCTAAATTCTTGCATATCGAACATATCGAGAGAATTTGGTTCCGGGTTATTTCAAAGCTGTTTCGATACCACAACTTTAATATGATGTGGCATATTCTTCGAAAAGAAAGTTCCTCCCAAATTGAAATAAAAGATTTCAGTATCGACTTTAAAAACAACTTCTAATATATTCGACTTTTCGAAATAGTTTTGTATTAGTGTAAATGGACCTTAACATATAACTAATTGGAGCCGAACCTTCCAGGAACTTTTTGTGAGTGTAAGATTTCAAAAAGAATCGCACCACCGGTACCGATTGTTGAGGCTTACGTCAAATCTTGAAAGAAAATGTAAGCTTTCGTAATGTCGTTCTGCCACAGGATGTAACCCCAATATAAACTCTAAATACCGAATTTTAGACTATTACATTAAAAAGTGTGGCTAAAATCAATATACCAAATATAGGTATACTATACAAACACGTTGACCGATACAGCC